CGCGATTAGTAGAATAGTTTCCCGACCTATAGGCTTTCGACATAATCCCACCGAGAGAAATAGACGTATTTACTCGAAGTTAATTAGAAATCCAGAGAAAGCATACGCAAGAATCGAACCTAGCATCGTGAGCGTTTAAACCCAACTAAAAGGTCACCAAACATCACTAGCGGATTTACTGAAGTAGAGGTAATCAAGGATCTTGTTGGAAAAAGCTAAATCCCAAGGTCAATATTCGTTCTGCTCTCCCCCGAGTATTGGCTCGACAATATGGAGAGCTGTGGTTCAAGTCTAACTGTCTGGACATGCAAGCAAATCCTCAGGGTAGAAGGACATTTCGAGGTTGGGATACTGCTCATGCAAACGAGGGAACTTTGTGAAAAAATCTGCTTCGGAGACTTTGTTGCAATGTTCTCTGCTACAAATTCACCAATGCCTTTCATGAGGCATTGCAGGTGTTCTGCCATTGAAAGATTGGGGTTAACCTGATAACCAAGCAAGTATGCAGCTCTAGATGCAAAATAACTTCCAAATAATTTCTTCAGACCAAGGCTGTCGATGATCAGAACGTCAGGGTCAAGCTCTTCCTCATTGTTACCATTTTTGTAGTGCTGAGTTGCAATAATGACTGTGACTAAGTGAAAATTTTCAAGAATGTTACGAAGTTTCTGTGGTGCTTCTTGGATTGACTGTTCTTTGTGTGCTCTTTGTTGGCCATTGCTGTTGTTAAGCATTTTCCATCAGTAGACAGCTTTGCCTGCAAAGGTCACTTCCTGAGTCTGCTGCTTTAATGGTCTTGAATAAATCACTGAATTCTGCTGAAATACCATTAATGAACAGCTTGTCAAAGTTGTTCCAGACCACATCTACTCATCTTTGGTTCTGTATAATATATGGCACACTGAGAGGGAAGCATTGCCTAATCTGGTTCAAGGTGATACACCAAAGTTCAAATTTCTGCTGCATATGCAGTGTCATCTCATTTCCAATTGCTCCAGGATAAAAGTCCTTCAATGACATTGTCTTTTCAGTTGTCTCAATTGCTCCGACTTCCACTAAAAGGTTAGTGCAGAAGACATCAAACTGCCCCATGAGCTGCTTCCAACCATCCCATGATAGGTTGAGCCCAGGTTGAAATAAATCCTCCAACTCTTGACCAATCACAATATGAAGCTTGAGATTATAATAGATATAAGAAGACACCTGGGATTTTGATGTAACAAACTTTCTCCTCTTGTCGTAAAACCAGTTCCTGATCGCATTCAAGCACTTCAATTGTGCAGGTGGAGTCATTTGGATCTAGGCATGTGCTCTCCTCAACAGGTATTGCTCCGAGTGTGAAGTGCAGTAGATTTGTAGCAAGAGCCTTGTTAGATTTGGCATGATTTCAGATATGATAAGCAGCATCAGCAGCATTGACAAGATCCTGGAAGACTTGGACAAAGTTCTGAGTGCCAATATGTGAAAAGAAATATGGTGCATCCTCAAAATTTATTCCAAGGCACCTATCTAGCAGAAATTCCAAAAGCTGAGGTAATCCACCAGTATCTGCTAAGAGTTGTAAGAAATATACAGATTTCCTCCAGGCAGTGTTTCCACCTCCCAATGTCACTGCATAATGATTGATGATCTGTAACCGAGCTGCTCCAGACAAGAGCAGGCAGGGTAGAAACTACAAGCCATATGATGTTGCCACATGTTGCCGTAATAACTCTTGATGAGCTGTTCCAGTGAAAATCATCACAATATGGCTTGTAGCTATAAAGGTTCCATCCATATAGGGCCCCAGAGTTTTCATAATGTGTTTTAAGAGCATCCCAGGCAAATTGTCTGGATGTTTCCATTTATCCTGATTCTTGTGAATCTCCTAAAACTCATCAATATGTAGGAAGATAAGCAAGTTTTCCATGTCCGAGATTCCTTCACAATCCCTGATGATCCTAATGACATCCTCCAGTGTAAACTCCATTCCTGTTGCCATCGATAAGAATACTCGAAGTTCACAGAATATGTGCAGTGAATGAAATGCAAGAAGATCATCCTGACTGTGAGAATGTGCTGGACACTGGCATTCCAGTCATGCCTGTTCAGTGGGCACATACTAATGAAATCCAGCAAAATCTGGAAGGAGTGCAGTTCTTTGCCCTTCCAGAGATCTGATAGTTTCGAGTTTTTTGTGAGGTAGTAGTAAAGTTCTTTCGCGAGGCGAGTTTTTCCTGAATAACAGAAAGGATTGTTAAGTACTTGTCATACACGTGGCTATCTCCATCTCCATACTTACCAATACCAGCATGTGAGAAAGCTGAATGATGCTTTACTGCTTCTGCTCGTGATTGACTTGCTAATATTCTTGGTGATTATGTTTATGCCATGTTCTAATGCAGCATGCTGGTTCTTTAATGGCATATCAGCTACATTTCTGATTGATGAGGAAGGGGAGGGAGTATGCTTTGACTTAGAGACAGTCTCAAGCAGCTCTCTCACTGATATGAAGAGAAAAAAAAGAATCAGAGCAGTGCAATCCCAGAAAGATCACATGGTAAATTTTACATTTGTTTGATTGCAAAATTTCACCTGTTGAAACTTCAGTAGTTGTGGTGAATGAGTAAGATGCTGAAGTATTACTGAACATGCAGAATAACAATAGTAGTGATGACTTTACCATTTTCCAAATGAGCCCTCTTTGGGCAATGCTCATCCTCTTTTAATGCAAGCATAGAAGAAAGCAAAAGGAAGAAAAAAATAATACAAATTAGTCAATGCTGCAAACACTTCCTCGAATAGATACATCTACTCTACCCTATGTACTACTCTATGTCCCCAATGCCTGAGTCACAAAGTCATTTCCTCCCACTTACCAGACTCAACTCCTTTGTCTCTCTTGAGCTGGTCAATAAGCTCTGTAATGGCTGCAGCAGAACCAAGGGCAAGCCCAATGCTGCAAAGTTCTTCTGTAGTCAGTCTGAGGAGGGCAATGCCCCCAACCCTGTTCTCCCTGATCATTTGGATGTCTTGTTCAATGAGATCATATTGCTTGCTGTTTGCATTGAGAAACTCAAGCACCTGAGAGCTTTTCTAGTCTCGTATGTTTTCAGGGAGGCAAAGTGGGATAGTTATCATATTGTCAGACATGGTGCAAGTGAAATTTTTTGTTTTTAATGGGAAGATACTGCTGCTCAATGTGATCTAATATTAATATACTTGATCAGTGTGTCCGTTCTGAACTGACATATGTGTCAGATTGGAATAACATAAAAAATAAAAACTTCTTTACTTGAACAGAGCCAAGACAACAATCTCCATCAACAAACGTCATTCTTGTGATTTTAGTCTGTATGCCAGCATAATAGTGTGAATGAAAGATCATGTTTTTATTACGTTGGGACAATTTGCGAGTTTTGTTTTTTATGAAGATGAATGGTGAAAGATAACATAATAGGAAAACTGAAGTAATTTGAAGATTCACTAGAGTGATTGCATGGGAGGAAATACTCGGACCCAAAGCCATTAATGAGTACCCCTATACTTTGGTCGCGCTAGCAAATCTATGCTACATATTATTATTACTATTAACACCATCACTTTCCTTCTCCTTTTCTTTATCTATCCATTTTTTAAGCACTTCGATCGTTTTTCTCAAGAATTGGTGTGAAGGCCTTCTAGAATAAAGGCAATAATGCCTTTTCTTTCGCATAATTTGTGGAATTTTATAACCACTTTGTTAAACAAGACTGAGTCCAGCTCAGAAGTTTTGTCAAATGACTTAAGACTATCCCAAAAACTTGATAATATTTCCGCTCAATGAGCAGCTGGTATTTTGATTTAATTGTCCTTGATTTTATCGCTTGAAAAAGCGTTTGAATTACGATACGGACTTTGTTGTGAATTTTGTAGCAGAACGAAGTACCAGCGATAAATGTGATCAGCAGTAGTAACTCGCAGATAATGAAAGTGAACATTTTGTTATTTGATTTTGTAGGTAATAAATAATGCTTTCGATAATACGGTTGCGATTCAATCGATTGTAATTTGTTTTCTTTAAGCGAAAAGCAGTGAAATGGTGCTGGTTTTATGCCAATTTCAAAATTACAAGCATTCATTAAACATATGTCATAACCATGGACTTGAAACAGTTGATTTGCTGATCAAACGTAATGATTTATTCTGGTGTTTTATCAAAACTCTCAAACTGTTTGAATACAACAGTTTGTGGCATATCTCCTGACCGCTATTACTATTTTGCGTATGATAAATGACAATTTTATTATGTGCGATTTAGTATCATAGCGTTATACAATCAATACAGCTTCAACTAATTCACGTTCCAGAAATTTCTAAACTTTTATTAATGTTAAAATATAATCACTATTTTGTTGGTCTTCTGCTTTTTGTGATATTTTTATTGTAACAATAGTAACTATTGAAAAGTATCTTGAGCCAATGAGATTAATATTACTATTAACGGATTTGTGCGACTCCAATTTAACGATAGTAATAGTAATAGTAATAGTAATTGTAATTATAATAGAGGATTTTACATCCAAAAATCAAGTGACTGTGAATGTGATTCTTGTGATAGTCACGTCATCCCAATACGAACAAAGTGTGAATCTATTCGTTGAATCAGCCTTAGCTCAAAAACTAATCTTCAACATGTCATATCAATGAAAACCCGTCTACAGATCAATGTAGTGGCCTTAGTATGAATCAAAGTTTTTATTAAACTTATTTGAGTTAAATTCCTAGATGGTGTCACATCTTTGACATTTTCGGCGTGTAAGATGCTAGTTGACTATCGCAGCAAACCGGCAGAAGATAAAACTCAACTTCGACGTTATCTTATAAGATATTCGATACAAGTGACATGATACATGCCTGACATAAGGTAATTAGTTGATAAAGGAATGTTATTTTACTTTAATTTCTCCTGGATTACCATATTACAGTACCTCCACTCCACACCCCTATATAAGAATCGGGTTCATCGGTATCTATACGAATATGCAAAGTAAACTCGAATCTAATAAATTTACCCTTATCATCATATTTCACTCAACTGTATACTTTTGTCTCATCTTCGGCAGCCGTTCCATTTCTCGATATAAGAATTGGAGACTGCAAGTTCAAATCTAATAAACTCACCCCCATCTCACCCCACTCTAGTGCCTACAGATATGTTATAATGCAGAAATAAAGTTATCAACTCAATTGCTACACCTCACTAATATTCTCTTCACAATTTTGTTATCTCTACACATACATGCTACAAGGCAGCAAGAAATACAAGACTAACAGAATAAGAATTGGAGCCAGTAAAATCTTATGTTTTTAGTTTGACCATGACGTGATTTTTGAGATTATGAGCCGCGGTACCCGCAACGATTAGGTAACAGAAAATCGGTCACGGGGATTTTTGCGTCAGCATCAGCTGTCACATTTATTATTAAACGCGATCCGAACAATTTCACGTGATCTGAACCTTTTTTTGTGCCATGGTTTTTGATGATTTTTTTTTCTTTAGAAGCCAGTTCACATATGACGCAGACGCGTAGCTCAGAATCCTAAGTTGCTATTATAGCCCGTTACTTGGATGGCAAGTATGGCTTAAATTTGGTTTGTGACATCATGTAACAGAGAAAAATAACGTATATATTAATATATCCACTCGCTCAAAATCACATCAACAATAATGTTCTTCCATCCAAAACTCACCATGAGTCTGAACTTTATGATATCATCATTGTAGTTAGCATCTCTCTATCCGATCCACTCAACTGAAATACTCTTATACCCACACGTTCGCCTGTCATATAGGCGGCGAATGATGTTGGAAGTGCAAAGGGGAGATCATTGCCTGGCATATAGTCGGCAACCTCCTCTGGGCAGTCGCCTGCCCGTCGGTTTGACATATAGTTGATCGATTGGGTGGAAGTGCAGGCAGAACGACCTCACCTGTCATATAGTCGGTGAACGTGCTGCTTGCAAAGGTAGGCCACCATACCCCGCTTGGCATATAGTCAGCGGAATGGTGGAGGCTCCAGATGAATAAACCAGATTTTCTCCCTCGAGTACATCTACTGTTTTGATAATTTTTTTTCTTTAGGTTGGAAGACGAAGAAGCCAGTTCACATAGCTGTGTTGTAGAATGGTACCTGAGTTAGAATAAATGTCAATTTATTTTGTAATTTTTTACCAGCCAGTTTCTCACTAAGTAATAATTGATTTACCCTCAGGTGTAGGTGGTGAACTTTCTGTTTGTAAAGGTAAGCCACCAAGTTTTGTGGACAGCAGACTGGTAATAGTTGGTCCAACTAAATCCAGATTTGATTTCTTAATTTGTATTTTTTTTTGCATTGTATTATGTATTACTTACTACTTATTAAGTTTAACATCATACTCTCAAGATTCAAATTAAAGGAAACCAAAGACCAAATGTTTTTATACCAGGGAGCACTGAGCATATATGGATATTCAGGGAAACCACACGTTTGGATAAACGGGGTAAGTGCTAAGCTGCCAGATAATATATATCGTAAACACTACTCTTTATTTGCTTATAACATAAGCTAACAGCTTGTGAAATAACTGCTTATTTGAGATTAAACCTTAAAGTCAGAGATTGATTGACATAATTTTTTTTACATTGATTTAACTAATATAGTATATAAAATTCTCGCTAAGGCCAATGTCCATCTCTCTTTGTTATAGGAAAGTTATTAACAATTTTTATAGACAAATATAATTGGTCGAAATATGCGTTTATATTCAGTTTTTAAAGGTGGATGATATTATTGGCTTAAATAAATTGTTACGTCATTTTATTCGGATTATCGGGGTAAATTTTGATGTTTGTTTCAGAAAATCTTCGGTTTACGGTTTATGGAGGTTTAATAGTAACTTCGGTTTGTCGGAGTAATTTAATAGGCTAAAGTGCGGATTTCAAAAAAGGTTCGGTCGGTCTAACGGGGTTTTCGGTTTATCGGGGTTCGGTTTATCGGGTTTGACCTTGTAATATAGTAAGTTTTAAGCAAAAAAAGAAGCAAAATAACTATTTAATATTAAAGAACGAAGAATTTTTTAAATCACAGTGAGAATGGAACATTAATATTGTGTTTAGAAACCCCATTAATAAAGCTGAAATAGATAATAATAGTAAGTTTGTTTTTTTGTCCAGATATGTCTTTTGTTTTGTAATGGTACATCATTATTATTTTCCGTTCTTCTTGGTAAATTTCATAAGTTATTTGTATGGAACAATTTTTTCTCTTTAAAATGCTTCTGATTGTGCTGTAATTTTTTAATTCCATGGTGGATTTAATGTATATTATATTTTTATAGATGGAGGTAATCCTATATTAAACTTATTATAATTCAAGTAAAAGTTTATTTCAATTAGTTGAGTGTGTTACGGTAGGGAATTAAATGGGGTTTTTGGGAGAGATTTATCTTTCGTGTAGGTGTGTTCGCCGACCGGGGGATGTTACCAGGCTTAGCTTGTACTATCGCCCTTACTACGATAGTTGTGCAA